ACTGAAAATGGCAGGGACATTAGGCTGGCCCATTCTTGGACAATCTGGGCTCCTTTGCCAGCTGGCATTGGCTCAAGTGCCTCCTGACAGGCTTCTCTTCTGATGGGCCCTTCTTCCTTTCTTGTAGCTTCTGTTGGCTTCAGGCTTTCTAGGTAGCCAAGAGTGGCCTTGAACTCCTAATCCTCCCACTTGCACCTCCCTTCTGAGATTGTAGGTACATTCTACTTATTGTGCTGGGGCCCCTCTGTTCCAAGTCAGCCAGCTTTCCAGCACTTACTGACTCCGTCTGCATTTTTGCCTGAAGACATTTCCCTATTAAGGTCCTCACACCTGAAAATGCACTTTGGTTTCTGTTCCTCAAAAGACCCAGACTATCACACTGAGTTTGTCTGACTTTAAAATCTGTGCTTTAACAAGAACTAAGGATGTATCAAAGCTAAAACAATAAAACTCTTTGAAAGATACATAAACTTTTGTGAGCTTGCATTAATCTGTTATATCTTAGTTATGACACCCAAACTCTGAGCAACAAAATTTTTTAAAAAATGGACATTTTAGACTTTCAAAATGAAAAACATCTGTTCTTCAAAGGATACCATGAAGAAGTGAAAATTAAGGCTAGAGATGGATTTGCAGTTAGGAGCTCTTACTGCTCTATCAGAGGACCGGTTTGGATACCAGTACTCCTACAGGGCAACTCAGAAACCCCTATAACTCCCAAGGGATCTGACATCCCCCTCCTGGCCTGCCATGCATGAACACCCATGCATGCATGCATACATACGTGAAAAATATTATTTTTTCAAAGTAAACATTAAACACACAAAATGGAAGAAAATGTTTGCAAACCACGTATCTGATAAGGGATTTGTATCTGGAATGTATTATGAACTCACATCTCAACAATAAAATAAAAAAAGTAATTTAATTAATAAATGCTAAAAACAAGCCAGGCCTCATGTTGCAGACTCTAATTCCAATACTTGAGCTGTTGAGGCAGGAGGATGACCATAAATTTTGGGCCAGACTGAGTTATATAATGATCAATTTGAAAACAAACAAACAAACAAAAAAAAAAAAACAGTAAAGAGAAAGAAAAAGAACAGACACTTCTCCCAAGAAGATGTAGAAGATGTATATGTGGCTATTATTCATATGAAAACATATTCATTGTCATTAACTCCCAGGAAAAATGCAAATTAAAATCCACAACCAAAGGCTGAAGTTGTAGTTTACTTGGCAGAGATTTTGCCTAGCACTTGTGAAGCACTGGGATCAGTGCCCAGCAACGCATAAACCACGCAAGGTGGTACCCATGCCTATAAGCCAAGCGCTCAGGTGGTGGAGGCAGCAGCAGCAAGTGTCCAAGGTCATCCTTGGCCTGTCATGGAGGCGGAGGCCAGTGTGGAATACAGAGGTCTCTGCACAACAGAACAAAACAAAATAAAAACCCCTTAAATTCCATTTCATGTATACTGGTGTGGTTACATAAAAGTCTGGGTCCAACCCAATGGGACATGTTTTTAATCCCACCACTCAGGAAGAAGGTACAAGAAGGATCTCTATGACTTTGAGGCCAGCCTGGTCTACACAGGCCGGTAAAGGGCTGCTTTAAAAAAAAAAAAAATGGAGGCATGGTAAGGACATGGAGAGACTGGTAGAAATGTAGAGTGGTGTGGATGCAAAGGAGAGCTGTCTGGTAGTTTGTCAACAGGCTGAACATAAAGTCATCTTGGCGAATACACGAGAGAAAACATACTTCCATACAAGCACATGAATATTTATAACAGCATTATTCACAGCAATCCCAAAGTGAAAACAACCCAGAAGTCCAACTGATGAATGGATATACAGAATGAAGATTAATATGATGTCTACATTTTTGGTACTAAAAAGGAATGGAGTCACCTGTTCCAGTGACTAGATGGACTGAGGTGGCAGCATCTTTGGAGGTCAGGAGTTTGAGCCAGTCTGGGGGACTAGTCAGATCCCATCTCTTGAATAATAATAATAATAATAATAATAATAATAATAATAATAATAGACAGAAAATTTGCAAAACATTGATATTGATACATCATGCTATAACACTGCAGGGATGAGTCTTAAAAATATTCCAAGAAGCCACATATGAGAAGAGACTGTGTATTGTGATTTTATTTTACTTGTTGGTTTTTCGAGGCAGGGTTTCTCTGTATAGCCTTGGCTGTCTTGAAACTTGCTCTGTAGGCTGGCCTCGAGCTCAGAGACCAGCCTGATCAACCAGCTCTTTGTTGTTTTCAGGTGTGGTCTTGCTATGTGGTCCAGGCTGGCTTCAGTAGGTATCCCAGGCTGTCCCCAAACTTGCAGTCCCCATGCCTTAGCCTTCCTGGTGCTGGGATTATGGGTTTGCACTATCACACTGACTTGATCAAGAGTCTGAATACTCATTCACATATGGCGTTGAGGCCATGGGCTTCTTTTCTTTTCCCTCTACTTACTCCATGCAGTGACAGTTCAATGTTAGTGTATTGGAGTTATTTTATGAGCTCTTGTGTTTACCTTGGTATCTTTCTTCCTGGAGACAAGGTCCTGTTTGGACTGCATTCCCTTAACCCTTTCCCTCTAGTGGCCCTCTTTAAGATTGGTGTTTTTTTGTACCTTCCCTTCCGTCTGTATGGACAGTAGGATGCAAGGGTTGGCCGGCTCATATTAAGCCTTGTGAACTAAACAGTTTCAGCCTCTTTTTTTGTAGTCATCCTGTTTGTTTTTCCCCCTGCTGCTGCTGGGTGGCTTGACCACCCAGAACAGGAAGAAACTGAGGCACAAATGGAAGGCAGTCTGAACAGGGGTGGAAGGAGCTGGGTGTACTGTTTTAGCAGGCCTAGATGAAGGCTGTCTGAGCTTATGTCCTAGCTTCCTCATGGTCCCTGGCTTCCTCCCAGCAATGATGAAAGGGCTAAAATTAAGTTTGGGTTGCTCACCTATTTGTATTGCAGTGAACACGGTGCCTGGCCCATTCAAGTGTCATATAAGTGTTTTCAAAGTTTATACATTATAAGGCACCTGGCTCTGGAGCAGAGAATAGTGCAAACTCAAGCCTCCTGTGGGTTCTATCTCTGTTGTGGTGGCAGAATTGGACCCAAATGAAATTCAGACTACAAACAGAGGACAGATTTAGCTGAAGTAAATACCAGCCCACCTCTAGCCACCATCGATCGCCTCTAACCATCCCCCACTCACATAGATAAATAAACTGGTATAATGTCAATCAGGAGCTCTTATATAAAAGATTCCTCCCTGGTTGAAATAATTGCATCCTGCAGGTAAGCTCTTTAAGCAGGAAGGTAAACAACTCAAAGTAGCTTCGGGAAGTCCCTGAAACTAAACAGAGTCACTTTGCCCATGGCCTGCTAGTATGAACAATAAACACAGATCATCCTCAAAAGAGCAGAGCCAAGCTGAAGAGACTTTCAGACAAGCTGAGCTGCAAAGAAGACCAGATCAGACCAGCTGCCTGGAAGAAGCAGAAACCAGCAGAGCTGTCTGGAAGAGGTTTAGACCAACTGAGGCACCTGGAAAAGGATACTCTCTAACCCACTGAGAAGCCTGAAGGCTGTGCAGGTTCCCAGCTTTGCGAGCTGTCACCATGCTGGCATGGGCCTTGATAAGGCAGCTGTCTTTGAGTCATTTCTGAAATCCCAAGTAGCCTCTCACCCATATTCCTGTAAGTAACCCCAATAACACCCACTGTTCCCCAAGTTGGACTTGGGTTGTATCCGGAATGTCATGGGATCTGTACTTGGGGTTAAGTAGCTGTGTGGATTGAATCTTCTCAGGAAACAGTTTGTCTTATAATACACTGAGCTTGCTGAGCCATCACTCAAGATGACAAAAGATGACTTTGAATTTCTGATCTTCGGCTGGTTTCCACCTCCTGAGTGCTGGGATTACAGGTCTTTCATGGCATGGTGCTGGGGACAGAAACCAGGGTCTTCTGCATGTTGGACTCTACCAACTGAGCTATATCCCAGCCTCAGTGTGCATCTCTTGAAAACAAGATCTTCAAATTGTGTCTTAGCTATTAGGAAACACCATGACCAAAGCAACTTGGGAAGGAAAGGGTTTAACTGGCTTACATTTCCCCTATCACACTGTTCATCATCAAAGGAAATTAGGGCAGGAAGGCAAGCGGGGCAGGAACCTGGAGGCAGGAGCTGATGCAGAGGCTGTGGAGGGTGCTGCTTGTTGGCTTGCTCTCTATGGCTTGCTCAGTCTGCTTTCATATAGAACCCAGGACCACCAGCCCAATGAAGGCACCACCCACAATGGGCTGGCCCCTCCCTCATCAGTCACTAAGAAAGTGCCTTACAGCTGGATTTTAGGGAGGCATTTTCTCAATCGAGGGTCCCTCGTTTCAGATAACGCTAACGTGTCAAGTTGACATAAAACTAGCCAGCACAAATTGTAAGTCTCCGTCAGTCTCCGGTGGGTGCCTACCTTGGGTGGCTGGCAAATAATGGGAGCTGAATACATCCTTTGGATGAGTCAACAGACCAGGGCCCAGCTCGCTTGCCTCCCCCTTTAAAGGAAAGATCAGGTGGCTGCCTTCTGGATACTTAAGGGTGCTGGGTCTGCAGCTCTTGGCCTCAGGTTTGTGGCTGGGAAGGACAGCAGGTGCCAGTCAGTCCTCCAGCCTTGCTGCAGTAATGCTGTTTCCCCGCCCAGCTTCACCCAGGTGCAGCCCGGCCTGCCACCCCTAGGCAGAGGGCCTGTGGGGGTGGTGGGGACTTGCGGGGTGGCCGGCCGATTCCCTCCCACGGTCCTTGCGTGAGCCGGGAGGGACGCCCGGAGCTCCTGGCAGGTTATTTTTAGCTGGGGGAGGGGACAGAGCGGTGGGCCCTGGCAACCCCGGTTGAGGTGGCCACGGCGTCCGTGCGCGCCGCTGTCCTCCGGGACCTGCGCGCGGTGGGGGCGGGGAAGGCGGCGGGAGAGCGCGGCGGGCGGGAAGGGGCGGAGAGCGCACTCCTGCGGAGGCGGCTGTGCTCATCCCGGCGGCCAAGAGCTCCAGTGCTCGCAGGGCTCCGCAGATGGCTTGCCCCGCTCTCGGTCTGGAAGCCCTTCAGCCCCTGCAGCCCGAACCACCTCCGGAGCCTGCCTTCGCCGAGGCACAGAAGTGGATCGAGGTAGGTGCCGCCGCCGCCGGGCGGCCTTGCAGGGGCGCCCCGAGCTGTTGCCCTGAGCTCAGCGACCTCGGGTCCAGCCTTCCCCCTGCTTTCATAGCCAGCTTCCCCGGGTCACCCTCTGTGGCCTCCGGCGGACTGCGAGCCTCTGGTGTGGGAGCCCCGGGATGGTGGGCGTGAACAGGGGACACTGCGGTCTAGCTGTACTCCCAGGGGCAGGAGGCGGTCCCCTGCGCCTTCATCCCCGCCGCTTGCCAGAGCTCGCAATCTCGGCTCGGTTTTGCGAGCGCTGCGGTGGAAAGCGAAGCGCCAGCCGAGGCGCTGCCGAGGCGCCAGGGGCTCGAGCCTCCAGAGCCCCCGCGGGAGCCGCGTTTCGGGGTGTCCCTCTCTCTGCTCCACATTCCATCTCTTGGCCTCCATCCTCGTCCTTCCGAGGCGGAGTTGGCAGTGTCTCCGCAGAGGCTCATACCCGCCGGAGCCTCTTGGCTGTGTTCTGGCACTGGTTCAGGCGCAAGGTTGGCGCAGAGCACAGCGTGAGGGGAACCTGCGAGACCTAGTTGCGAGCGCTCTATCCGCAGACCCGCTGCCGGGCTCTTGGTTGCCCCAGAGACCGCAGGGTGGGCTCTAGTAGGCCGCGGACCCGGCCAGGTTGGCACATCTCACTTCTTTAATGGCTCAGGGGGGAAGGCCAAGGAAATCACTGGCGCTCTCGGCCGAGTCCAGGCAGCGCTCGCCGGGTGATCCTGATTCATGATGTCTATCTGCAGGTGCAGCTTAGAAGCCCTGCTATTTCGAAACGACCGGTTCTTTGGGCTCAGGACTCGTGGAGGGCGAGAGTGGGGGAGGTGACCCCTTGTGATCCACTCGTGAACCCCCTATTTCAGTGGACCGCCCTTCTGGTGCATTGTAGAAGGTGAAATTTGGCCAAATGGCGCGCAACCTCCTTGGCCTGATGGTTCAAAGGAGGTTGTGTTTTATAGCTCAGTCATGACCAAGCAGGAATAAGCATCACAGTACTCAGACTGTCACTTAGCGACCCATCCCCACCCTCGAGACAGCCCAGGTTTCCATTGTTATTAGGACGATACAACCACAGGGCTGCAGATTTAAACCTGCTGAGTTGCTGGCGGAGGACGAGGAGGACTTTGCTGGAAGGCTCCAGCCCCAGGTCGTCACCTTTCAGGGTCAACCTGCTTCATGCCTGCAAAAGCGCCTCGGAGTTTGGAACTATCTGTTTAAAGAGTTGAGAAAACAGAGTATAGGAGACACTCTTAACTGAAAGCCGGGGCTGGCGTGTCTCTTGTAGCTAGATAACTCACCATCAGATGAGAAAGAGACCTTAGCCTCGTGTTTTTGACGCGGGGTTGGAAGGCTTGGAGTGTGACAGGTGTTTTCTCAGCGTTTGGGTCTCACAGGAGAAAAGAGACATTTGTAGACACCGGCGGTAGTGGGGGTTAGTATGACTGTGTCTTTCAAGTTCTTGGACGTTCTCTGGTGGAAAATTAGATTGTGTTTTGGAGGTAAGTGATTGTGTTTTGGAGGCAAGTGATTTTTTTTTTCCAGTTTCTTTAATCGATAGTCATATTACCGTGCTCTGCTTTTAAAAGTGTATCGCGGTATAAATTCCATAGAGGATAGCAGGCGAATCTGAATTGCACATCTCTGAATTTTGGAGTATGAACAAATATTACATCTCCTTATAGATCACGACATATAAAGCTGTTATTTATTTTTTACTGGTGATATTTCAGGCTAAATCTTACACAGTGCGGAGCATCAATTTTCACATCAGCTTGAGGAAAGGAAAAAAACAGTTTAAGAGAGCAGAGCCAGGTTAAGCCCTAAACACAGTTTAGGATGATTCTTGATACTTTGCCCTTTTAAATCAGTCAAAGAAAGTAAAAACCCTAATGGTGTGTGAGTGTGTGTGTGTGTGTGTGTGTGTGTGTGTGTCTTTAGGACCGGGCTGCCGGGCACGCTGTGTGTGCATAATTGAAGTGGCCTATCTCCTTTCCACAGTGGAGTTGGATTTCATTGAAAGGGGAGTTTCCCCTCCCAAGCCCAGGCCCTGTTATGCACACAGGTATTTGTGTGTGTGTATGTGTGGGGGAAGTCGAAGCGCCCCCCTTTTCCCTCACAGTCTTTTTGAAATGTAAATGGCCATGTTTGCAAACTGGTAGTCGGGGACCATAACAGATGGTTTTGCACACAGTTGCCCATTGAACAAAGATTCCTGGGCTAATATAGCAATAATGTGTTTCTTAGTGTGAGCCACTTCCTGTGGGGATTCTTATCGGGAGACAATCACATCTCCCGTCGGGGGCCCATTGTCTCTGGCAACATCCTCATTGGGAGGGCTTTGTTTTTCGGTTTTGTTCCATTGGTGATTAAATTTCCCACAGGCTTTTTTTTTTTTTTTTCCTTTTTCTTTTTTCATTTTTTCTTTCTGAGCAGTCAGGAATTTTACCTTTTCAGAAAAAACGTTCCCTTGGGTAGGCGAGTTCATAAACAAACTTTGCTACTGGGCTTCCTCAGTTCTGGGCCTCCTTGAATTAGGCTGTCTAGAGAATTTACATCCTTAATAAGGCTCAGGGCATGAGCTCCCGGACACAGGTTCTTAACAAGGAATTTCTCGGCCTGCAGCCTTGACTATTTGAAGACCGTGTTATTGGGCAGGAAATATGGCTCAGAAGCCAGGCTCCTAGCTTCCCTACCCCAGCTCCTGCCTTAGCTGCTAAAGGTGAACTCCATCATAAAGCTAGACTTGATCACAGACGGCGTGAAGACAGCTGGGTCACATTTTCAGTGATTTTTTTTTCTCTCTCATATTGGTGGGAGCAGGCTGCATGCCTTACTGTGGGTTTAGGGAGGGTCAGAAGGGGAAACAGCAAAGTTCAAGGATTAATTCCCTACCAGCAGGCAGAGGCAAGGCTAACTTCCTATCGTATTGCTTTTCTAGCTCATTTTCCTGGGGCAGTAAAGCCTGAACAGTGGGCCAAGAGGCCCAGCTTCCTAGCTGGAAGTCCTTGGGTGGAGTCCCAGGTCTGTCACTTGTTGCTGAGCGACCTCGGGCAAGCCTCTTTTCCTGTCCTTATGTTTCCCGACATTTTCTTTGAAAGATACCTTGAATATAACAACAAAGCAACCAAGGGGGTATTGTTGGAACATCTGTAAAACAGGACATTGAATAACATCTCGCTTTGTAGAATTGCCGGAGGATTTAATAAGGGAATATGTTTTAAAATGGGTAGAATTGGTGAAGTGGTTAAAGCATTTGTTGGATGAGTGTGAGGATGGGAATTTGGATCCTTAGAGGCCGCCATGGCCCATCTGAAGTTCCAGCATTGGGGGCCTCGTGCAAACTGGCTTGTTAGACTGGCCCACAGCAGGAACTCTGGGTTCAGTTTCCAGACACTGCCTCAAAGAATAAGATGGGGCAGGGGTGATCCAGGAAGACTCCTGATGTCAGTGTTGGTGCTCCATGTACACACACACACACACACACACACACACACATGCACTAGTAAACACACACATACATGTATTCACACAAACAACAAATACACACACAGTCTACATTTACATGTTAAGAAAGTGCTTAGAACAGCACCTGGTACTGTTTGAGTGATGGTATCATGGTTACCATTTATACTACTATTGCTGTAATTCTTGCTGTTATCATCATTGCTACCACTGTTGGTAGTACTGTTGGTGCTGTTGCTAATAGCAACTGAATGTGATTTTGCTCTGTTTTGGTTTCACTCTTTTATTATTTTATTTATTGTTTATTTATGCCTCAGTATCAGGAATTGGGCAAGTGCTCTCTCACTGACCTAACATCCCTTTATATTGACATTCTCAAACGGAGGCTTGCTAATTAGTCTGGGCTGACCTTGAACTCTGGGCCCTCCTGAGATTATAGGCCTATTCCATCAATGCCGGGCACTACGCCTAAGCATGAAAGAAAGTCTTCAGAACCACAAGATTCTTGAATACACAATATAACTCAGTTATCTACTGGTTTCACTTCGTATCTCACTATATTTTAATTTATTTACGTATGCTGGGGGTCAGATTTAAGTCTAGGCCAGAGCTGGCACTATTTCGGTCCACCAACTCTGGGTGCTTGGGCTAGAGATCAAGTAGAGGCTACATGCCAGCCTTGTTTGATTTTAGGGTCAGAGGAGAGCCTGTGATCGCTGACTTGTGAGATGATCTCGTAGGCCATCAGGGCTTAGAGAATTACCCTTGATATTAGGTCGAACTTTGAACTTTAACATGTAGTTTTGTTACTGAACCTCAAGAAGAATCTTCAGTGCCTGTCCTGAAGACAATCCAGTACATTTAACTAGAGCCTGGCATGGTACTGGCTTATTTTGATGTCCTGAACCCATTTCTTTTAGGCAAGTGTTGATGCTTGTTTTCAGGTAGATGATTCTAATAGGCCTGGTTCTCCTCTCCTGTTTGTCTGTCCACCCACAACAATAGCAGTCTGTTCCAAATCTTTTTTTTTTTTTTTCTTCTCTTAAGGACCAGACACTTTTTGAAGGACACTTTTTTGAACCCTTCAGATGGGTTCCTCTTGATTTGGATTGGGAACTGGTTGCCAGGCCTTTAAAAGGGAGGGGCTGAAGATTTCAGCCCAACTCAGTCATCTCCATCTGAAAAGTTTCTGGCTCTCTTAAACTTGAGTCATAGCATGCCCATGGGTTTTGGTGATGAGTACAGTCATATTGGTAACCTAAGCCATGTTTCACGTGAGTGGGAACTCCACTTTTCTACGCCCACAGGGAATTGCTTTTTCATTCCACGTTTATTCAGATCTGATTCTGCAGATGAAATGCACTGAGGGTGTCTTAGCACTCTGATCCTGGAAGGTGGCTTGGCAGTAGGGGAAATTTATGAGTAGCTTTTGAGTTAATCGAGCATTTGGTGGCCAGTAACTACGACACTGGTGATGTTGTGCTGTAAGTTGTATAGTCGCTCAAGCTCTCTGCTTCCGT